GATGCCAGAAAAATGACATTAATGGATTATGTAGAAAATATTTCAATAAGTACGATCAAGTTGTGAAAAATAAGTAATGCTACTGAAACAGAAAAGGACGATTATGAGTGATTTAAGGGTCTAACTGTCCTAGTAATCGTATATTCGATTAAATGGAGCTTACGGATTGAGCAAATATTTGTGGGTAAAGCAGTGATTCCCAAACTGTGCCCCACGGCCTCTTTACAGGGGCGCCACGAAATATTGTAAAAGCTTCAATTTGAGAAAATGTATAGTGATTTGCAGGCTCATCAATCACATTAATTATTAAATATTAATTTAATGTTAATAAAGTAAAAATAATAATGAAGATACACGAGTTTTATTTATTTTTATCTCTTACTTACGAATAGTCATATTTAGTGTAGGGCGCCATAGAAAAATTTTAATTTAAAACTGGCGCCGCGACTAGGAAAGGTTTGGGAACCACTGGGGTAAAGGATAATTGTCTTTATACGAGTGAATTCACGGAGAGATACGTGATTTGAATTGATATCATTCTGTGTTTTCCAATACAATTATATTACGAGATAGGAAGTAAGTGAGAGGATGTTATTTCATGTTTTAGTGTCAATGACAGTGTGAATAGGGGGCGTTGTATGAATTTTCAATTATTTGAATGTGAAAAAGAAGACTTAGCTTAGAACAAACCTGAAGTAATTGGCGTATTCGGATTTGTCTTAACCTGGAAAAGCTTCGATTTGGATGGGAAAGCTTGGGATATTTGTTGCTGAACACAACTGTCCTCTGCATCCCCCGTCGTCTCTTTCAAGTGTTCTGTAAGTGCCCTACGAGCCTCCATCACCAGCTCTGCAAAAGACTGCTGCTTCCCACTTTCTTTAAATTTAAGCCATGTTTGTCTATTGGTTTTATTGACGGCCGTCCGATCTGGAGGGCATGAAGCGTTCGTTGATGATGAGTAAGATGATACAGTTGAGGAAGCTGCAGACCGACTAAGATACGCATTGACCACTCCATCTAGTTGCTGACGCACCGAAGTCAGGCGGGCGTGAAGAAGGTAGTTTGCCGCCAGCACTACCACGTCGTCTAACTTACGACTAAGGGAAGAAGTTTTTGATATAACGTCCTGTGAAAGTCCTCTGATTGAGGGATACTCTAGCTGAAGAAATAATGGGGAAGGAGCAGATGATGTGGCTTGGGATTTATCTTTATCAAAAGTAGAGGCTTTTGCAGAAGTGACCGTTGTTTCTTGATAAATTGATGAAAAAGAACAAGAAGATAAGTGAGCTGTAGGAAGAGAGTTAGAGTTCTTTGTTGATGTAGTTAGTGTGTAATGTCTCGGTAGGTCATGCAACTCAATCTCGCTTTGCGCGATGTAATGTTTTTTAGACTTATCTGGATAAAGGTGATGCTGATATTGATGGTGAATGGAAGGATCATTTTTATTCCAATTTTCATAAAGCAAAGCATCAGCGGCCGTTATCTGATGCCCATGAGAATGGCTTTGTCCGAGAGTATGATAATCTTCATTTTGGTACGGCAAAGTGACAGTAAAACCTGTATCGACTTTTTTTAGAGAGGAACTTGCAGTGAGATTATGACGTGAATTATGGATACATGATCTGTAAGATGGTCGAGTCAAATAAGAAGGCATAACGTTGTCTTCTGCATGGACGAGAGTTGGAGAAGAATTAGAAACTGTGTCGTTGAAGGTGGAAGTGGCGGAAGTTCCAGCTGCTTTGCTATTTTTGAAGTGCTTGCTAGTGTAGGCGGCTTTTAAAGAGGGAAGAGTTAGTCCGAGTAACAAGCGACGTAGCAATGGCTGTGGATAAGCAGCTAAAGAAGCGAAGATGTCAGTGAGGAAGAGATTGGCTTGAAGGCAGTTAGAAGGCATCTTTTCTAGCTGGTCAAGTAATGTGGACAGGAGGGGACCTAGAAATAGAAGTTAATTCATGCCTAAATAATTTTTTTCAATTTTAGCTAAATAGATATTTTAATTTCCAAAGTTATCCACATATAAATGTTACATATTGGAATGCATAAAGATACTGCACATCACTTTGTTATGAGCCTTAAACAAAAAAAAGAACTAACCTGTAAAGCATCAATAAAGAAGAATTGAAGAATTATAATGTAATAGCTTTGCGATAACTCATATCGCAATAAGCCTTAATATAGAAGTTGTTTGACCTTGGTCATATTGGTAGGAAGACTGATAGAAACGCACCTTGTCCTGAGTCCATTGTATGCATAATTATTT